TTAAGTGTGGGGGGGTAACTAAGTGTTTTTCATGCAAATTCGTGGGATTTTATCACCCATTATTTCAAAACTTGTTCCTTGCTGTTTTTAAGTGTTTTTAAGCAGTTTTGGTGTGTTTTAGTATGGTTTGAAGTAAAAATCCGAAAATCAAAGAAAAATTTGGAAAATTTGTTTTAAAAACCCAAAAAAGAGTTGTTTTTGTGTGTTTGTTTGTGTCTTAGGGTACCTTCCAACACAATGATGAGGATTTGGTTTTTAAATACATGGCTGTTAAAGAGAGTGATTAACATGGATGAAAGTTTGATTTACTCTATGTTTATGCTTGGTTGTGGTTATAACTTATGAATTCACATGCAATCATAAAAGAAAAAAAATCAGTTTTTGTAACATGCTTGAAGGAAGGAACTCAAATTAACGCTACAACCTTGTGAGACTTGAGCCTAAACGTTTATTTGGAGAGTTAAAATCTGTGCATTCTTTGTTTTCTAAAATCGTTGCATGATCTCATTATTCTTTGCTTGGTTGCTACTTAGAAGGCGTTTCATCATTTAGTTCCAAACACTAGAAGTCATGCCCATTTCATTCAAAGCATGGTATTGATTAGCATAACACATATTCAAGATGAAGTTGTGTAGTGACCACCACTTTAGCCAAAAAGCCGTGTGCCCTACTCCATTATATGTTTAGGTGTTAACCCCATTGAGCCTTGTTTAGCCTTTTCTTTGTTAACCCACATTACCCTCACCTAGCCTAGATTAGGACTATCCATACTCTCGTTCTTAAAGTATAGTAAGCATGATTCAAATGGAATTCCTTTATGGCAGAAACCAAGTGTGGGGGAAGTTTTTATTTTGAGAATTATGTGCCATAAGCACGGGTAGAAAGAAAAGAAAAGAAAAATTCGTGAAAAAAAAAAAAAGAAAAAAAAAAAGAAAAAAAAAAGTATGAAAAGAGTTGAACAACATGAGAAAAAGAGTTCCAAGGTTTTGTTTGTTGAATAAAGGGTCCAAAAAGTTGAATTCGGCCCCAAGAAGTTGTTTAAAGTCTTCCCCTTGTGTTTTTAAGTTAATTTCTGCAAACTAAGTGAATTCTAAGTCTTAATTTCATTACTTTGCTTACTAATGCTTGAAGAACGTTTGTTTTCCCTATCCTTTCTTTGTTAACCAATACCCCAAGCCCCGTTGCAACCCTTAAACTTCTATCTTGAGTGTTATGTGTTTCAATTTGTTGAGTTTGAATTTGGTATGAGCATATGGTGTCACTGGTTCTCGCGACTAAGTAGTAGCATTCCATTCATGAGATCATATACATGTCATTGACATAATTCCAGAAAATGCTTTCCTTGTTATAACATATGTGAGTGTTCGTCTACATGTTTACATCAATCTTCTCACATATACCTAGTGTAGGGAGTGTAGTTAGAAAATCTGAGTGAAAACAGAGAGTATATCCGGTAAGGAATTGAGGGAATTCTCTAAGGCATGCTACTGCATTCAAAATGTGGTTTTAATTGATTAAATGCGAGCTAGTGAATTGTGACTATGATTAAGTACGCTCGAGGGTAAGGATTGCTTAAATCTATGTGAGTGGTGATCTTTGACATGTCATGTTTCATTGGAAATCCCTGAGACGAATGGTGGAAGGTTTAGATTATATGTTTTGTTTCTTTTGTTTGTTTGTTTTGCTCGAGGACTAGCAAAAGATAAGTGTGGGGGAATTTGATAGGAGCATATTTAGGCGACTTAACTAGCTTATTCTTGTGCATTTATGCTATTATTTCTTAGTTAATGTCGCATTACAACTCAATTTCGTGTGTTTGTAGGACCTATGGGGTAAAGTATCAAGGAAGGGCATTTTGGTGCATTTTGGAGCAATTTTGGACACTATGTGGATAGCTTACATTTGGGCTAACATGGATGGACGAATTTTGACTTCAAGAGGCTAGAAATGTGATAAGAAGAGGAAGGAATAAGCTTGTCACTAGCCGTCCTAGCTTGTCACTAGCCGTCCTACCTTGTCTCCTAGCCGTCCTACCTTGTCTCCTAGCCGTCCTAACTTGTCACTAGCCATCCTACCTTGTCTCCTAGCCGTCCTAGCTTGTCACTAGTCGTCCTACCTTGTCTCCTAGCCGTCCTAGCTTGTCACTAGCCGTCCTAGCTTGTCACTAGCCGTCCTACCTTGTCTCCTACCTTGTCCAAGCTACACACTTGTATCCCTTAAGTGTTTCATGTATATATATCCTTGTAATCCTGAAAGGGGATGACTCATTCACCCAATTTTCGTCCATTCATCTAGCCACACCATTCTACACATCCTAAAATCCTAGAAACACAATTCTAGCCAACACTACACCTTGCCGTGCCTATCCTCCATCCAATTCCATAATCCCTGATCCTAAAACACATCCCAACCATCCCATCCACCTTTGTGCCGTAGCAAGGAGAAAGAAGGAAGGACTCTTGGATGCTCAAGCTTCGTCGTTGGTGCATTCTAGGTGTAATTCGTTTTATGATTTCAATGTTTAATTTATTTTCCTTTCATTTTGCTATGAACATGAGTGGCTAAACCCCTATTGGTTAGGGGTGATTTCGAAGCCATAACTATGTGTGCAAGTTGATTTGATAAATTCCAGTTATGAGTTCTTGAATTGTGAATGCAATTGGCTTAACTGTGCGAGTAATAACGTATTTGTGTTTGTTAATTAGGGGTCGACACTTAATTGGCTTGCATGAATATGATGCTAGAATATAAGTTTGTTTCACATAATTGTCACACACTTATATTCACAAGTAGTGAAGGTTGCTAGTCACAATCGCGTTAAGTTCAATTCCTAGCATAAGTGTCATGATGTCATAGTCACAAGTGCTTTGTCAATGCTTATAGTTTTCATTGAACGTAATGATCTTTGATTGTATCTTTATTATGATGTCATGTAAGGAACTTTTGAAGAATGCTTTGGGTTGTCGTATGATGTCATCCAATTCAATAACACAAGGAAAACTTGAGAATTAACTAGTGATGTCACGGTTAATTTGGGGCATTGTCATTCATAATTCTATGAAGGAATAACTGGAAATCGAGTCATTTGCATACTTGTCATGTGTGGAGAAAGAACCCCTAACTAGTCCATCATCCATTAAAAACCCCAAAAACGTTTCAAAATCAGTTTTACTTTGCAATCTGTTTTCTCAACTTTAATTTCGTCCAAATCAAATCCCCCTTTACTTTGAAGTCTCAATTTAGTTAGAAATTGTTTTGGTTCATGTTTTTAAGTGTTTTGAGTCAAGTTTTCAACCAATTTCGTCCAAATTAGTGTAGGTGCTCAAAACTGCCCAGAAAGTGGTTTTTAGGCAGTTTTGAGTCTTCTAGTTGCTGTTTTGAGTTTTTGTTTTGTTTTAGTGTTTTAACTTTGGTTTTTCATTCTTTGAGTCCAAATTAGTGTTTTTAACTTTGTTTTGGAGTTCTTAGGTCAGTTTTCAAGAGTTTAGCAATCCCTCCTAATCCCCGGTTTTGAACGATCCCTACTTACATACTTTGCTACAATTGTCAGAAGAGGGTTTAATTTGTGTGCTTAATATATTTCGCATCAGTCGCGTAAGAGTTTAGGGGTCGAAACCTAATTTCATCGTTCAGTACGCACAACGACCAACACTTCCGTTGCGCAATCTTCATTTTGCACGATGAAAACTTGTCCTTTGTCGCGCAATGGCTAACATGACAAGTTTTGCGCAACGTTGTCTTCGCTGCCCAAGGTTGCCGACGACAATTTTGCCCTTTGCGCAACGCTTTCCCCTTCATCGCCCAAGAAGTTATTCCTAATAGTGAATAGAATGAGAAGGAAAAAGAGTGAGGTAGAACGTGGGAATGGGGAGAGAGGGGAAAAAGGTTTTATTTGTATTTTTCTAATATTACAGATATTTTAAAATCACATGTGAGTGTGAGTGAGCCTTTTTTTTTTTTTTTTTTAAAGTACATCGATATATTTTTACACTAAGGGGAGTGAGAGTTCGGCTAAACCACACAATGAGCAACCTAATTTGGTATCAAATTCGTCATCTACAAGATTCAAACCTAAGACCTCTCACTTTCAAGTGAAGAAGAATACCAGTAGACCGTAATACTGAGTGAGGCTTAAAAAAAATAAAAATAAAATAAAAAAAGCAAAATTTGGTTTATGTGAAATTACATTACTGCCCATATTTTTTTTTTTTGTTGTTCAATTTTAATTAGAGGGTTGAAATGATAATTTTATAAAATTTTGGTTAACGATCATGATTCTATTAATATATAGTGTAAATAATATAACAAGATATAAGACTTATCAATGAATTTTTATATCAATTATACGATTTCTCAATATGCATTAGGTTAGTGGCGGAACAACTCTAACACAATATGAGAATAACGTAGATTACCAAAATAGAGGTTTCATGATTGTGTGAGATCTGTCCCACAGATAATTAACTTGATCAGATTGATTTATTATATTTTTTTAAAGAAAACTAATTAAAAGAGCTTGAAAACTTTGAGTTTTAACGATAAAAACAAAATAAATAGTAAAATGAATAGTATCATGATTGACTTTTTAGTGTAAAACTGTAATTTTTTATTAAAATGAACAGTATCGAGAGTTTTTCGTTAAAATTCTCAATTTTTTATCCTACCTGAAATGGTCATGTTGTTGTCATAACTAATAGATTAGGAGTCAAATTAAATAGCAGTTTCATTTGGAAAGGGTAAGTTTGTTTCTTCTTCCAAGGTGCGCACCCAATACAAATTTTACATAATCAAATCGTACATAACTATTGGTCTAGTAATGTTTATTTCAACTTTGTTAAAAGATTTTTCAAGTTTAATTCCCCCTCCCTCGAGATCAGGGACAAAGAAAAAAAAAACTTATACGCACAGACAATATACTCACCCGCCAAATTCAATCCCCATCCAACCCCGTTCTGAACTAAATAAATTCAAACAAATAAATGAAGAAGAAGAAGAAGAACTCCAGCGCAATATTACACCCATCAAATTGAATCCATGCCGAAACAATTACAATTAAGGTTTGCATAGAGTATTTATTTAATGTTCTTGTTTACGGCAGCTAATTGGGACAGGCTACATAAATTACAATAACAGAGGAATAATCAATAATTTTACTGTGACAAAGCACTTGTGTTGAAGACAAGAAGGGCACCCCCTGCAAGAATGCCAACGAGGGTAACTGCCCAGATGGCCAAGCCAGTAAGACCTGCAATTTCATGCATATTAATTTATTAGTTCACTTTCATAAGCATTACTTAATTACAAACATCGGGTCAAGCAAGAAGATAATGCAACTGTAGACCTTATGAATTCCTAAATTTAAGCAAATTAAACAATATTCTTATGAAGTTGAAGTTGCTTACCCCCAGCATAGACATCACCAGATGGAGCCCACTCATCTTTGTTGTAGATGGGACTGCATATCAATCATCAGCAATAACTTATTAACAGCCGATCGATTCCGATTGCAATAGTTCGAAAATTTATTCACTTTGAGAATGGTTAGAGGGCATCAAGCAACTAATAGGATACTCCTTGTCAAACAAAAATAAAATATACATATAAAGGAAATTATTATTGGTACTTAAAAAATCTCATTATGATGTTTATTTTTTTTTCTTTTTAAATACCGAAAGTTAAAAGTGCAAAATTAGATTTTTGAGCGTCAATAACAGTATCCTATAATAAAAGGAAAAGCGAGAGAGAGAGAGAGAGTTTGTTTTCTTCTAGAAGGGTTCGTAAATCGGCTGTTTTTCAAAATTTCTCAATTCTAAAATTGTTATCATGTGAATACAAAATCATAAATGCTAGGGTTTGGAAGAATCCATAATACTAATTCTCTCTATTTTTTGGTGAAATCCATAATGATACTCTTTGAAACATCCATAATACTATTTTTCTTTCTCATGGCCAAAAAAAAAAAAATTGCTAATGCTATGGATGGTTTTAAAAACAAATTGAAATAAGAGATAGGTAATCAAGTCAAATCAATGATACTTTAAGTACGTATGACGGAGACAATGAGCTAATAAACGACTCATATAAAAAACTAAGCCGTACCATAACAAGTAGATAATTCAAATCCAAAAGTAAAATAAATAGAGCAGTCACACACACGCATATGGCATGAATGAAGTTTGAGAGCTGTACCTGTATCCATCAACATTAGCACCGTACTTGTCTACAAACTGGTAGACACCCTTTCCCTGAATCAAAGTTTAAACCTCCAAAAATTACAAGCAGACCGATTGGATATGATTACATTGTTTTATATTGTCTATATCGACCTAGAACATAACCGATATGAAGTTTGACGTGAAGCACACTTTAGCTATTACATAAGTGGTAACAAAAGTGAAGAGTAAGAAAGACCAACTAATTACCGTAGGCTTCCTCCCGGAGGCATCAACACCGTTCCTCAAGTCCATGCCGCCACCAGTTCCTGCAACACATTTTTATTTTAGTATTAAAACCAATCCCATCTAAGAAAAATACGGTTATAGTTTTATCGAGCGAACTCTTTTTTTCTCTATATTTTAGTTGAAAAATTATTCGTTCATGAAATTTGAACTTAGAAATTAGATTATCGTGCACGTAGTGTTACCATATGGGGTGGCAGTCTTGATTTTCTTGCCGCCACTGGCTTGCACCTTGAATGAAGCAGAGGACCTGGAAAGAGAGGGAAGGCCTCTCACTGCCGACTTCTCAACAGTGAAGGGAGATGGTTTTAGGCTAACTGAACAAGCCATAACTGAGGCCGACATTTTTGCTGGACTTGTGCTTTTTTTCTTTTGCTGATTGGCTATCGTGTGGTGTGCGGCGTCTAAGTCCCTGATAATAAATAATAACACTAACCATGGAGGAGTGATTGCTGAGTGAACACGTTGCAGTGGTTCTGTGGGGGTGGTTGTGGATATGATATTGCAAAACATTATCAAAATGGGGAATAATTTTTACCCTCACCAATTTTTCTCATCTTCGGATCTGACACGTGGGCTAGGGCCAAATGGGTAAGAGAATAGTGGCTTGGAACTTTCGGAATTGAAGAACCCTTAATTCCTGTTACATTAATGACATGTTTACTTACATAGAACGTAAATTAGATTCATTTTAACATTTGAGTTTTTTTGTATTTGTTAAAATATGGAGTATTGAAATCATTTCAATTCATATTTTCTCTATGCATTTACTAAAATATGGAATCAGAAGTGCGTGTTTATCCTTACTATTCGTAATATACTATCTTTAAAGTTAAAATGAATAATCAAATCAATTGGGGAGATTATTGATCTAATTCCCTATCTTAACTTTCTCTATACCTAAAAATAGTTTGATTCCTTACTTCCCTATTATTGGTTCTCAATTTTGTGCTACACTTTAGTAGCAATAGAAAATCAATAGAGTTGTTTTTTTTTTCGGTCAAAAGGAAATTTTTATTAAACACCAAACTCAAACTTACACGCAAAATAAAAGCCCAACTTACATCTATAAACAAACAAAAAATGGCCTAAAACAAAGAAAGTGAGCCCAACAACAGTAAAGCCCATAAAGCCCAAAAAACAGCACATCAGTCGAGAAGCTTTCACTGCTTTCTCCACCGACAAAATTCAAGGCCAACCAACCGATTCGCCGTCCACCTCCGAGTATCGCTGTTAACTACATTGAAATGTTTGGGAATTGAAGAGAAAATTAAGAAGGAAGATGAAGAATGATGAACACAGAGATTAGAGAGCGAAATACGACTTGTATTAATTGATTGAATGAAGGTTACACACACACACACACACTATTTTTATAAGAGAAAGTTTAACTACTCTAACCAAATACTAACAAACTTACTAATTGTATTGCTAACTGTATTGTTGACTTGTACACTTAATATTCCCCCTCAATCTCAACTGCGGTATCCTAGCTTGAGTTTGCAACAAAGTCTCAAATAGCAAACACTAAAGATGGACAAATGGACACACTGCAGAGTTTTCTTGTTCCAGTTTGACTTTGGTGATGCCTTCTGATTGAAAAAGGTTTTGTTGCCTTGATTTGCAGCAATTGGGCTTTGCTTTTGCTCCTCATGTTCTTCTCAACTACGGTCCCACAAACATGAACCTAAATCCATGCTTAAACTGACAGGTATCCATAGTCAAACATGCAACTTGCTCACTAAACTGACAGGTATTCAAAACTTAAATCCATACTCAAGAACGGTGCAATTTCATCCTATTATCATCACACATCACTTTTGCAGATACAATCTTCCAAAGACAGAATGTTCTCCAATATTTCTTTCAACATACTCAGATAGATTATGGAACCATTCTATATGCAGAAGCCTATTTTGAGCCACACTACCTCTACGTTGAAACCCTAAATCCCCAAATCTTCTACCTCTCAAACCTTTTCATTTTCTCCACTCAGAAAGCATAGATCTCAATTGAATGTTAGGAACACTGCACATTATCTGCTACTTTCATATTTTCAAGGAAGTTTAACGATGAAGCTTCTTTTAGTCCGAGAAGGCCATTTTCCATTTGGGATCAATTGGGTTGCTTAAAGAGTATTGTCCTTGGTCAAGGAAGAAGAACATACCCTAGTTAAAAGGAAATAGTAGTATGCATAAATTGCCTCTGTTTCTAATTGAATACAGAATCAAAGAATAACCTTTTATAAAGTTGTAACACACCCCAATGTTGGTTATAACAATTTCTTGCGGGACTACCCTTCGTGGGATTTACCATCATCAACTTCATTTAACATCGGCATTGGCCTTTAAAACAGAAAATTAACAACTATAGTGTGGCATCGGCCTTACCTACAGTACCACGGGATCGCCCTTGTGGATTTTACCAAAAAACTACTCCTAACAATGGCATCGGCCTTCACAATTTCAACAACAGAAAATCAACATTTATGTAGGATTACCCTTCGTGGGATTTATCTACTCACATCACGAAATTACCCTTCATGGGATTTACCGTTTACAACTTCTTCAAACTTCTTCGTAGAACAAGACTTACTATAGATTCATGCTAACAATTGAGTTGGTTAGACTCGACATTATAGGCTGAGATAAGGGGAAATTCCTGCACAAACTCCTCAACATAATTGTAGAAAATCAGTGAAGCAGAGAGACAAGAATTGGATAGTGCAAAACTTCATGAGTAATTCAACAATGAACACCCTAAAGATATGAGTAGCAATCAAACCCAAGAATCCATACCCATTTCTCCAAACATATCAATATGCAACTATACTTAAAACGTAACAAATTCGCCAACTTTCTGACTTCGACAACTTCAATGAATACTATATACTCAAACATTCTTGGCATCAGCCTTATCAATTCTGAATTCATAAAACTCAAACTTCAACAATTGACAATTCTCTGAACAAGCAACTTCATAAATTTCTTCAACTACCAACATTTCTTGCAATCAGCCTTAAGCATATACTCAAAACCCCAAAATAGATATAGAATTCGCACCAACACTGTATAAAATTTCATTGACCCAAAAACACAAACACCTTATGTGCAAAATTGAAGAAACAAAGAAATGTAACAACCTGATTCCAACAATGCCACCAAAAAAGATTACAACAAGATCACCAATCCAAGAACAACAACTAGACTCCAAGAACTTCAAGAACCATACCCAAATCCAGTGCAAATTCAGCGAAACATTATGAAAGGAAGAAGTAGAGAACCGTACCAAAATCTGCAAATCTTGATCTTGCCAATGAAAATGGCCATAAGCATGCGATTGCATATGAGATTGGAATCGGTGAAGCCGTCATTTCTCCAAAGTTGAACAGATCGAGAGATTCACCTCTATTCTCAAGTTTCAACTTGAAGATGCAATTGAGAAGGAAGATTTCGAGAAAGCTGCAAAACATGATGCTTCGAGATTGTGTGGATACATAGGAAGTAGACTGGTAGGTTGGTGGGTTAGCTACCCAAAAGATTGGAAGACTAATACGATTAACTCCTTGCGTGGGTAGATTTGTTGGAAGGTGAAGCACCCATTTCTGGAAATATCTCCGATTTTGGTGCTTCAACTGTTTGCGGTGATGGAGATGCGACTCTCTGCATTTGCTCTGCTGCCTTTTTTGCTCTAAAATTTTCTCCAACTTTTGATCTCTCGCTTTCGATCGGGAACGGAGAGACTCATGAATTTGATCAGAAAGAAATCAACCCAGAAACAAATCAACTTAAAAGAACGATCGCAGAAGCACATAGAAACTTATCCTAATATCTAATGAAAATTTGAAAAGAAACTAAGCTAGAAACAAATGAAAAATAATGGGAAGTGGAACCACCAGAATCCATGGCATGAGCCTGGTGGCTCTGATACCATGTTAACTACATTGAAATGTCTAGGAATTGAAGAGCAAATCAAGAAGGAAGATGAAGAATGATGAGCACAGAGATCAGAGAGAGATATTTTAGAGAGAAATATGACTTGTATTGACTGATTGAATGAAGGTTACACACTCACACATTATTTTTATAAAAGAAAGCCTAACTACTCTAACCAAATACTAACAAACTTACTAACTGTATTGCTAACTGTATTTCTAATTGTATTACTGACTTGTATACTTAATAATCGCATCCTCAAACGCCACCTGAGCATAGCCATAAGTAAGAGATAATCGACAACCAAGAGAGAAAAGTCAACTACCAGTATAAAGCTTATGGAAACCCACAAACGACATTGTTGGAAACGGTAAACGAAAAAGTGGTGGTGTTAGAAACATCTGGGTTGGTGTAAACTCTGGAACTCTACACACGAACTCAACATGAAATATGGCTGAAGATTGGAGCAAGGAAGAGCATGGAAGAGGTATACTCGTAGGGATTGAGGAATTGGACAGGGCAGAGTGAAAATTGGGAGAAACATCAATAAAGGCAAGGAGAAAAGAAGGAAAAGCGAGAAAAAAGGACATGGCAACTGACCCCAGTTGTAGCTAGGGCCGATGCCACCGAAGATTCTAAGATTTGAAAGTCTCACACAATCAGTGAGAATGACTTTCAGCTAAGAGAGAAAAAAGCTTTCACTTCGAAGAGAAAAAAAAAATCTAGAGAGTTGTTTTAGCTCTGCGAAAATTCATGATACATTGAGTAATTACATTTATAAAAAAAGTGCAAATGAGTTACTCCTAAATAAAAAATTAAAGGGTTAATCTCAGTTTACTACCCTAAAGTTTCTTGGTTTTCAACATTTAATATATGACTATTACAAATTTTAACATACATGACGCAATTTATGGGTCATGTTAAAAGTTTAATGATGCACAGATTTAGCGTCATCTTTGTGGGTGTCATTAAAGATATTTTTTATGACGTTGAAAAAGTGTCATGTATTACTTCTAAGGACGCCTAATAAGCGTCATTGAATTAAGAACTTGTGTCATCTATAACCATTTAAGACGCAGATTAAGTGTCATATACAGAGAAATGAGCGTCATGGTATACTAAACATGACATATGCACAGTGTCATGTGTAGCTTCTACAGACACTTAACAAGTGTCATTGATTTAAAAAAGTATGTCATCTATTTCAATTTGAGACGCGGATAATGTGTCATAAACAGAGGAATGAGTGTCATGGTCACCTAACAAGTATCATTGATTTTAAAAAATGTCATCTATTTCTATATAGCATCATGTACTATAGCACTGAACCATTTGCAATGTCATTGAATATTAGCAATGACACACAAAGCGTGTCATAAACCGTTCAATACATGTCCTGAAATATGTTTGATGACATATATAATG